CCGCTACCCCTGGCACTGGCATCTCTCCCCGCCTCTCCAGGAGCCGAAGATCCCTGACAGTGGCCCTCCTTGCCCTCCCTGTCTCCAGGGTGACAACTGTGTCTCCCCCTCTTCAAGAGGCTGCCTGCACTACATGGTCCCACACCTTGTGGCAGGGTCAGTGGCAGTCCCCAGCCCCTGCAGTGCTGTGCCCAGGGGACAGGCCCAGGGTTCAGCCAGGTTAGTGCAAAGACAGTAAGGTTTCTGCTCCCATGGCCTCACGTGTGGGTCACCCCTGTGTTATGGCACTACACATCACAGTGGCTGCTCCTGCTAACATCATGGCCATGGGGACATCTATGCAGGTGCAAGGAGGACCATGGGGCTTCCTGTGGTCCCCTGCCCAGGCAGCCCACTTGAGTTAGAAGAGCTTTGGGGTGACATGGCAGCCCAGGTCATGAGATTCAGTACCACACTGCCATGGCAGACTGTGTATAACTCCCAATGTGTGTTAATTATGGGACCCAGAAGGCAAAGGCAATAATAAAGTTGTAATGCTGTCTTACCAGTCCCTTCCATGCGAGTTCTTCCCTGAACCCTTCACCTCTGGCTTAATCCTACCATATTTTCTGCCCTTTGAGGACCATTCACCTATAATCAGGTATTTCCCTCCTGTTCAACTAATCCCCTTGTCTCTTTCTTTCCTGAGGACTAAGACTTTCTGCTTCCAGATGGCAAATGCCATCTGTGCCTGCAGATAGCATCACCAAGACCCTCTCATCAGCGTCAGGCAACTCTTTTGGCTGCACATGGGAAAGAACTTAGGTGCTGGGTTTTCTCCCACATGGAACATGAGGCCATGCTGTCACCGCTGCTGGAATGAAGAGTTGTAACTGCTCTAAGCCCAGACATGCAGCATTGGGGTGAGGTGGTGGTAAGGAGAGAAGATTCCTGTGACTTGCTAGACTGTTTATAAGGTAGAAGCCAGTGGGTCTGACTGTTTTTCTTGGAAGTATGTTATTTCTTCTTTTTAAAATCTCAGCTGAGTCACAATCACCATGTTCATTTAGGAAAGCAGTGTAGTTTGAAATGAAGTGTGAAAATGTAAATTGTAAAAGTTTACAAATCAGAAGGTAATTGAGATAAGAACCAGTGCTACTTTCTAATAAACACTTTTTAAGTGGCTCCTAATCTGGGAGATGGATGGGGAAGAAGATGGAAGATACTGACTCACAATATCTGACTGCCTGTGTTTGATAATGAAACTCTGTCCACAAGAGCAGCTTATGAATGGTTGCACACCCTTGTCATTCCTACAATCAGACAGAAACAAAAAGCTTCTTATTGCATCACCAACATTTAAAATGATAGCTGGTATCAATCTGTTCTAAACATGATACATGAATTACAGACCTTCTCCTTCTGGATACACAAATTAACCCTCCGCCCCATAATTGCAGGCTAGGGAAGAGTCACACACACATCTGCCTTTAAGGAGGTTTTGTATCTGCAAAAATGTCCTCAGAAAATTGTGCCCGTTTACAGTCTAACACTGCACGACTGATGGCAGCAAGCCCAGGATCCAACCACAGCTCCACCCTCAAGCTAGTGTATTCATCACCTTAAGAAATAAAAATAAAGCCATTTTCCTCTAAAGCTGGTGCCCAAAGAGCATACCTGCATCAACAAAGATCCCGACACAGCCATGCTAACAGAGTACCCACCCTTGCCATCTCTGCCCTAAAAGGCTGTGCTTGAAGCTGGCTCCCCAGCTGGATCACCCATCTGTTCTGCAACTAGACGCACTTCCATTAGCAAACTCAGCTTTCTGCATCATCCAAGGCTCTTCTTTCAACACTGCATAACTAATTACACACACAGCAGCAGTGATGAAACAGCATTGCTCCTGACAGATCAAGCAATCTGCTGACAAGAGAAAGGCCACATTTCTGCAGCCTCCTCTCTAGCCCTGAACAAAGCTCCAGGGTAGCCTGGGTGGGGACAGCTGCTATGTGGCAAATTTCATCCTTCAGCCCTTATTCAATCAGTCCCATGCTTTGTACTGGTGGGGCAGCAGGGCCAGCTGACAAGGGGAGAAGCAATGCAGTGAGAGCACCTGTGGCACCCTGAAGTGTGCGAGGAGCAAATTTCATTGCTCTGTGAAATGCGTAAAATGAGTTTGCAATTGTTAGAGTCTGCAGAATTAGGTATTTCAGTTTATAGGCTCATCTTTTGAAAGCCTATTGTAGGTTTCCCTTAGGAAGCAAGACTGGGGGAAGCTGCAGGTGAAGTGGTTGTTTAGCCTTCCTGGAGGCAGCGCTGGACCTGGTTGCTTTTCTTACCTGCTCCCTTGCACTGACCTGCCTCTTCTCCAGCCCCACAGCTAGCTGGCTTAGGAGATGAAGCCTGGAAAAAAGCTGCTTGTCTCTTCTGTGGTATTAAATTACCTGTTCAGTTAAGGTCCATGGCTGGCTCAGCCTGGTGTTTGCCAAGAGCCTGCACCAGTGCCAGGGAAGCAGATGGTTCTCCAGAGGCAGCCAAGCTATGCCCCAAACAGCACCAGACAGGTGCAATCCCAACGCAGGGCAGGGCTGCTCCCTGGGTTGCCCCTGCCAAAGAGTCCATTTGTACATCCCCTGCTCTGCTCCTCACCACCCATCCACCCCTGTTACTATCTTCCAATTCCATCATCATACAGAGCTTGTTAGCCCAGAGGAAAAATACTTAGGAAAAAGAAAACAGGTGGATAACTTCATAGAATCATAGAATCACTATGGTTGGAAGAGACCTCAAAGATCATCAAGTCCAACTTCTTGGGTAGTGAGCCAAATAAACTCATGGAAGGAAGGGCCAGCCACAAAATGAAGGGGATAGTGGATAAAAGCACCCATTTCAGAGGCAGCAGGCTGTTAAAGCAGCTCAACTGCTTAAAGAAATGCACCCTTAGGCTTTTTTTAAAATGCCAGTGCATAGGAATATTCAGTCTCATGGGGTATTAGATGACTTTGCAGAGGGCTCAGAGATTATTCGCTCAAGTGTGTACATCTCTGTTGACCCCTCTCCCTACATCTAGCTGTGAGGGCCATCCCAGGGGCTATTGGAAGCATCAGAGATGCTGTAAAGAGCTGCTGGGGTGGGGGGGCGGTGTCTGTGTATAAAAAACTCTCATATATGCAGAGTAATTGCAGGAAAAGAGAAAGAGGAAGAACTTGATGCTATTGACTGTGCAGTGCAGTCATATCAGAATTTGAGCTGCCTGAACTGTAAGTCCACACAGCACTACATGAACACTACTATGTAATTTTTGCCTGCATTACAGTTATTGCATGATACAGCTAATCCACTGAGGTTAGTCCACTGAGTTAGAGTGCATAAGGCTATAAACTCCTATGGATTCACATACTGAAAGGAAACAACATGAATCATCCAAAATAAATACATGTGTAAGATAAAAGTCTGTGAGGTAATCCTGGCAGAATTTTTTTCCTCCAAAGATTTCCCTGCATGAGGAAAACTTTGCCTGCTTTGCATGTACATGTGCAGTGGAAACACTCTACAATGCTACTTGACAGCCCCCGTCACAACTTGATCAACCAGTATGTTGCAAACAATTACTCCATTTTAAGTTTTATATGAAGGCAAAAATAGATTTCAATGCGGGCTTCAGTTACAATTCCTCTCTGCTTCCAGCACACATCTGTATGAGTAGTTGTTGCACAGCCCCTAAGTCAGATATGCTACCTGCCCCACCACCGTGCTCCCACCTCACACGAGGTACTTAGATGGTCTCCCTCCAAACTCCCTAGCTTGCCCCAGGGACTCTGGACCCCCATTTCTCTGAGCACTGCTCCCTATTTGAAACATGGATATGAATATTTTACCCATACATCAGCAGTCTTAGGAAAATAAGGTACATTTGGAGAGGAAAGTGTTCAGTTTCTGCAATGTCACTACTTGAAATCAGAAATACCCTACTCGTATCTGACTGTGCAACACTCACGGCAACAAACACTGGTATTGGTATCAGTGGCATGAGTGGCTCCTAATTCAATATCGAATCATATCCACATGCAAGAGAGGACCTGTCTCCACTTGATTCCAAATGCTGCATGTTCACACACCTGCAAACCTACCACTCCTCAGCCCTGCACCTTCTCCCATCCCATTCAGGAGATTCTCCCATGGGCTGGGCCAGAAATGCAGGTTCTGTTTTGGCTGGACTCCTGCATTTTGTGCTGTGCAGGAAGTTACAGGAACCAGAAACCAGATCCCAAACCTGCCTGGGATTCCTCTGAGCTGTCAGCTCCCTTCTCTGCTTGGCATGGTGTGAGCAAAAGCAGGACTCTGGCTTCCAGCTGCCGTTTTTCAGCTTGCATACCACTGGTGAAATGACTGCACTTACGTTATATCCTAATGAATGATTCAGGTACCTTTAGGAGACTAATTCTAGGCAGCATGTGACTTTGTTGAAGAAAAAATAATCAGAAGAGTAATGGCAGCTTCTCCTCACCCCAGCCTGTACCTAAAAGGGATTTCATACGGCACAGGAGGAAGTTGTGAACAGCATCTTAACACTAATCCCCATCCCACTCTCATCTCTTTGTTCTGCCCAGCCTCTCCTTCACCCCAGCCTTTTCCACCCCAGAGCTGGCCTCATTCAGAAAAGCTATTTAAAAAGAAATACCATCTTGATCAATCCATGCTAAACAAAATTATACATAGCATGACATGATTGCACTGTTCCTCCCTGCCTTAACTCTCCTTCTACTGCCTCCACCTCCAAAACTCCCCTGTAAGAGGCACTGGGTTTGGTACTCACCCAGATGTCCAAACTTACCAGCTGGCAGCTGCTTGCTGGCACCCTGCTCCCTGCCCACTGCACCTACTTTTGCTCTCCCTGGAGAGCCACACTTGCAGCTGTAGTTTTGGGTAAGGCTTTCAACGCTGCAGAGGGAGGTACCACCTACCAAATTGTGCCTAGAAGAAGGTGGTAGC